GTTGCGTTTCTCTATTTAGGATTTTTTTCATCATCTGAGCGAAGTATAGCGTGATGTGGGCTTTTTCTTGCTGTTTGGGCACGTTTCGATATCAAAAGGGAAGATTTCGTGCGGTTTTTCTTCTGAAGTTTTTTCCGCTTCTTGAAGTTTAGAAGAAAATGCATTCAATTTTTTTGGGTGTCTTTTTCCTTATTTTTCACAACGGGAGAATCAATTACGGTACATATTCTCTCATTGAGGTCTACGGGAAAAAGTGATCCGACATGCGAACTAATTTAAACCGGCTGGGCTTGGGAATTCAGGGATTAAGAATCAATTACGTCCGCATCTCGAGGCCTGACTTCTCATAGAGCATTGGTTTGAATCATCATACGGTATCAACATACGACCTGGTCTTAATTGTTTCCATGATGCGGAAGAAATGTTGAAAAAGAAATGAAGTGGTGGGTTCGATTAACGAACGAAGAATGCAGTGTCGATGGAATTTTTCTGCACCAGCAAAAATATGCGCGAATACCAAAAAAAGCTCGATGTGCCATGGGCGAGTCTGAATGACGTGACTTATCATTGACGGGGCGCGACGTGAAACAAAACGGGCTCTTTTCCACATTTTTCCGACTTCATCTTTTATGCATTGAAAAGAAACGCGTGATCACCTCGCAAAGAGAAGGGGTCGAACGACAAGTATAGCTTTTCAAATCCACCGAAAGTTTGACGGGAAAAACATCACGGAATACGGTACCTTTTGTTTTAGTATTTCCAACACGGTTACTTCTGCAGTTCATGGAAATTCAGGGAATGAAAAATTACAACCTAGTCATTGCGCAACTAGACAGACCTTGGCAAGTACATCATACTGAATCATGAGTTTATGCGCTATACAGTTAAGACTTTCATCGAGAACCAATTTAGAACGTGAGTACCAATCAATATTTGAATGCATGCAGACCACGGTTCCTTTCATTGCCGTACTAAAAAGTGGAACTTCCGAACCAGGAGTTTTGAAATGGAACACGTGCGATCGGTGTTTTTTATTAAACATAATTTTCCATTTAAGAGACTCACTTTCCCAGCATCCTACATGAGGACACCATGGGCAAGCTACTGGGTTTCGTCCCTCTCCTAACTCCGGTGGGTCCGTGGAATTTCTGATACATTTGAAAATGCATACAAATTCAATCGTCCTTAAAACGTTTTCAGCATTTGCTATTTTTCAGATTTTCAAGATACTGCAAAATGAAAGTTCACCACGAGAGTTTGAACACTGAAAATTTGATTATCGTTGGCAAGGGATTTTGATAAAAATGAGGAAAATCGTAAATCAGCACTATAATACACCCCTTCTTTCGAATTGCATCTCCCACATGTTTGAGCAGAACAGAAATCCTCGGAGAATCGATGACGGTCTGAAGGAGTAGACAGTAGATCGGCCAGATACTTGATGATTTATTGATTAGATTCCTCCTGGAATGATCGAAAACAATACTGTATATCACGACAATTGTACTTTTGCGAAGTACACTACTGTATGTTGAAATACCGTGCTCATACGAATATAATAGCCACCACTGTACCTCATTTTCGGCAGCCATCCGATGGAGCAACTCTGTACAAGCAGCAAGCAAATTGAAAACGTCTGCGACATATGATAGCATCAATACATTAATTTGATATAATTTGCTCATCAGCAGGGGCATGGTTTCAAGTCTTTAAACCAAACTGTAACACAAAACGGATCCTGCGTCAAGTCTTCTCGCCTTAGCGATTGGCATCAAGTCTAGAGGGCAACAGTGATTTCAACTTTGGAATATGTGTGAGGAGACTGTTCTCGATTCTGAGAATAATCTTTCATGCGCAATAGGTCCCAGGTATTCTTGAAGCACGGTGATGGGCAACACCTCGGGGTACTTCACAGTCCCTGGTTTCGCCCAAGGATCTAATCACGGCAAAGTTCAAGGCTTTATTTATACATCATGAGGGTCGCAACGGACTTTTTTTCTGAATGAATAAAAGTTCCTGCGGTGATGGGGGCGGAAAGATGACAAGGTCATCTTGTTTAACTTACAGGTGGTCTTGATGGGATTTGAGTTGTTCCGCAGAAATTGGACCATTGTCAAAGTATGCCTTGGGGTCAGCGACGTCGTCTGATGGCAACTCTGTATTCAGAATATCTTGCATCAATGCCATGCAATTCGAATCTTCGAGCCTTTCGTAATTGTATTTTTCGAAAACAATTTTGTAGTGGAACCCCTGTGATGGAACATTTTTTCTTACGAACTGATAGTGTAGCATGTACGAGTAAAATGTCATTTTCCGGAAATTTTGGGCGCAGAAGTTGCTGCCTCATCTCGTGGGCTCAACTGGATAAGCCAATCACATTACTGTTCATGTATCTCAGTACTTCCCCTGGGGTTTTCTGATGTAATACTGTAGTACTCAATTTGTCCGCAGCGCGGTTTCCTGGAACCGCCATGAAGGGATACTTTTGACTTCGCAAAAGGACTCCTGAGAGCGCACGTTGAAACCCACTGGTGAATTGGCTACCAAAAAACACTTCAAAGTGACGTGATTCTAATTTCTAATTATCGAACCAACCAGAAAGTTCCGACATCTGATTTGTCGAGCGAGAATTTTTTTAGGTGACGCAGAATATGAGCGAGGGGACTCGACTCTTTAGGGTGAACACCGATATTGGTGCGTTCATGGCATGATGCATCCTTTCAACGTCACAGTTGATCCTCCGTGCGGGGAACGATGAACATTATGAAGGCATACTCGATTTTTTCGCAACTAAAAGAACATTGAAATCTTCCATGTGCCTTGTAAGTTAATGAATGCGACATTCCCTCGATACCGAGAAGTCCTAACCTCGTAAAGAACGCATTTGATTTGTAATTGAACGAACTAACCAGGGGATTTACACGTCCCGTTCAGCATAAAAATGAGATGAATCAGAAATTTACACCGCAGCGATTTTTGAGTTTTGCACAGAACCAAAATTCAGAACAGGCACACAATAAGGGCGTATCCGATTCTAGCACCGATCCCATAAATTCGTCTCTAAAGCAATAGAGGCACACGCATATACCGTAACATAAATTTTCAGCATGGTTCAGTGATCGCGCAAGTATCACAGCGGGTGTGGCTTTGAAAGATATCGGGGCCACAGGGCACTTTTTTACCCAGCACATGAATGTAATACGATGCAGAAAACAGAATACTACGGAAAAGTCAGATTCCTCGAAGACAGCGAGTAGTCGACTCGCTTCGACTTCGTTCTTCAAGTGTTCAGACCGTGGTTGATTTTTACGAATTCGACGACGCATAAATCACAGCGCAACCATACGTTCTCCCAATTCCTAATCCTTACAACTGTGAAATGAGATATAAGATCCACTCTTGGCGCTATGCCGAGTTTATCTCCTCAATGTCACCGGAGCTAAATCATTTCTGTACAGCGGAAAAGCCACGTTTGCTAAAAATTTCAACGATTTCGAAAGATTCTCTTTGTTGGACAACTTCTCTCAGAAACCCGACGCAGGCATCTGCTCCGATCAACCGCGGTTACGGCAAAACCACTCTTAGAATGGACCAAAAGTAAAGGACTCACCAAAAAGCTTTCGGCATCTTCAAGAAAACCAAGCGTCCTCATGGAATCAAAAGAATGCAAGTGCCGTGTTTCTAATGACGGAACTTTGCATTCATCAAGAACCTCACTACACTAACGAGGTTGCACTTTTTAATACGGTATAGGTACGTTTTCAGACTGGAATTTCTTGTCCTTTTTGGCAGAACCGCACACGATAATCAACGAAAAGATGAGGATGTGACAATCTGGCAGAACCTCTGTGGTCCAAAACGTAAGCACACGGTTTCATCACTCGACAACGGAAGTCCTAAAAATGCTCATCGCATTTCGTTCAGGTACACACGAACCCAGAGGTATGTGTGGGAAGTTCTCGATTCGTTCGAAAACAGCACGACACATGTAACCAATCACGAAAATTCTGTTCCAACCTTAACCATAGCAATTTCAACGCGAAATGATCCAAAATCCATAACAATTCTCATATTCCCTCCAACGATTACCCTTGTTTCTCAACGTGAATTCATGCAATCACTTCATGGATTTTCAGAACCTGTGAAGGCCAGCGTTTTAGTTCGAAACGATTGTGCATCAGATCACTCCGTGTTATTAAGTGGGAAAACAGGACATAACACAGCCAGAAAAAGCTTACAGCGACATCTTCAAAATTCGCAAATATTTTTTATCAAAATCGAGCTCTGTTTTCATAGGTGTCACTGTATCATGAACCATATAGGGGGGGAGGAAGTACGGTATTCGATCAATTCCCAAAACCAGTATTAAAAATTTATGGAAGCTATATGGTGCGTTTAACAAGTGTGAAACGGCTTTCAAAATTTTTAAATACAATTTTACCAAAATTTTATTTACTATGTACATTTGCACAGTATACAGGCATACTACTGGAATTTCAAAAGCTAATATTACCTTCAATTCTCAAAGCAGAGGGTAATTCATCAAAAACATACCAAAAAATAAATCAATACGGTAAATAATAATCAAGGGCAGTTGCTGGCAAAGTGTATAACATATAAATTGTCCCAATATGTAAAAATATTTTCAACCGTTTTACGATTCATGCGCAATTTAATTGTATAATCTACTCAATATGCATGCAGTACTGCATTCAGCATTGTCTCCTGTAGGAAGTGTTGATGAATTGAAAAAATTGAGTTATGAAGAAGGGTACCATATTTACTCCTCTGGCATACTTATTGCATACTCAGCAAATTTTTATATAAAAGATATGAAAATGATTTGAGAGGACCCTTTGGTGGCGGTGAGTTAAATCTGGCGCAGACTTGTCCCCAACTACCATTTATGGAGCGGTCAGTCGAGATGTGGCGAATTTAACCTACACTGAGTTTTTGCTGTTACGTTTTTCTGGAAGTGAATAATCATAAATGCACGAGGATGACTTCAGTTTGGGAATTCTGCGCTTTTCTCCAATCCCATCATTTTATGCCAAATGATCCGCCATCACATCATTACAAAACACACGATTGGAATCCCACATATCACAAGTGATCTCGCGCAGAAACAATTCAAACACACTGTTCACTCCAGCAAATATAATTTCAGATAAATCATAGAAGACGGTCTCGAATAATCCAACCCAGATGTCGAGTCACTTCAAACTGTATACATGTACTGTATCCTTTTTTTCGTTCGACTTCTTGGCCATATTGTGTGTTACGAAAATTGAAAAAGCAAACGAGTGAAAAATGGTCGAGATTGAAAGTTGCATGAACATCATGCAGGATTTAATGGTTCTGGGATGATTATGAAGTTTCTTGGCATAGCTTTTCTCTGAAAATTAAAAGTTCCATTGAGGCTCAAGGAAAAATTCTAATCAAAGAATTTTTACAGTAATACCCAGACTGTAATCTGGCGATTGGTTTAGCGGGAATCCTGACAAAAAAGTGCAATAAGGGAATGCTTGTACCGCTTGACCGAATTTTTGCTTCTGAAGGAATCACATTTTGTCCAACAACTCACACGGCTTCGTGAGAAAATGTCCCCATTAAAATAAATAGCTGCTAAGCATTCCTTTTCCCGATTCCTGAATTTTCTGATCTTTCATCCGGTAGCAGCAACGATTGTTGGACGGATTTGGCATCTCAAAACCGGAAAAAATTGATTGAATGCTCCTGGCTCATTTGACATATAATCATCAGTGTCAAGTGCCGGCACACTGCATTCCGTCAGTGCGAACCATGGTCCAAAACTGGTACAACTTCTTCGGGTTCACGTCGTGGTACGTTATGACCTTGCTCAGCATACAGGCTGTGATTTTCACTGGTGGTGACACGTTTGTTATTTCTTTTGCATTTACTAATCGAACACCGGTCTGTTCTGCCACAATGCCGGTGATGAACACGTCTTCTAGTTTGAAGTACGTGTACCCGCTGCTGAGAACACCATTCAGCAACTTTGAGACTGCGTCCATGGTAATTAAATATGCTGGTCCAGTGACGAAATTTGGGTATCGCTTCCCTTGGAATTCCGCAGGGGAGACGTAATACTTGGATTTCTTGTTTCGGACGGGACCCCACTTGACAGCAAGTCGACCGAAAACAGAGTTTGTCGCATTTTCGTTTTTCTTTGAGAATGTCAGCAGCAGGGGGATGTTCACGTACATGTCGTCGTCTACTTTAAAAACAAATTTTGCCTGCCAACAAGAAGACTTGATCAATTCATATCACGAAACCATTTTAATTGTGCACGTTGGAAACTATTGTACTCAAAATTCAAAAACGGAGGTCTGTTCTGTTCATAATTACGATATACTCTGTACACAAAACGAAATCAACTATTTTTGTTCGATTTAAGAATGTCATTGCCGGATGTCTCCAGGAATCTGAAATCATGTGCCGGATTTGCATCCAAAATAGTTCACGTGACAGAGTATTCCAAAACTTGGTCCCCAATGCACATTATTTCGAACTCATTGAATATATGGAGGCTGTCATATGTAAAGATAAGTTGAAGCATGGTTTGAACTCCTGGGGAAAGCTGACAATTATAAACAATAATGAAAAAATATTTCAAATTTCATAATTTTGGAATTTTGGTGTATTCCGAAATGGGACGGCAGTTATGATATTTCTGGAATGAATAATTTCTACAGAAAGAAAATCGCCGTGAATTTTCATTTGCTGGTCACGTTTGATTCAATGTCGAATCGCGCGTAATTAAATTTTTGATCTATGCTGTAAAGCGGGGCTTCTAACATGTCAAATTTCACGTTTCATTCCACGTGTTTTGCGTAATATAAGAAAATATTCCCTCTTGATGGGGTCTGTGCTGAGATAATTGACGCATGTATGAAAATTAGTCCCATATTTCATTTTAATTTCCGAAGTTCTGTTTTGGCGTCAGCAAAATTTCTGCAAGCTCTTGCGAGACTAATGCACAGAGACATTTTTTTTTCATGTGACACATGAAGAACGAAAAATAGCAGCAGTTCAAAAGATAATTTTGACAGATATTTAAAAGTGTCAAGGAGCTATTTTTTCATGCTTGAGAAGATTCATGAGAATTACAACGAACCTTTGAGCAGAATTTGTTGGCCCATGCAAGCATCCCCACCACCTTTGCCACTAGCATTTCATACGCATCTTTGAAATCTGCTTGAATGATGTCTGAAAATATTTTGCTTTCCTCTTCCAATTTTGTTTGTTCTGCGTCGGTGCCGACCCCAACGATAAATGCCATTCGAACATCGTTCATCATCGCAAAATGTCCCCATGTTTCGCGAATTGCCCTCCGTTTTTCCTGCAAAATTAACACATTAGTTAGCCGACAAATCTTGAACCAACACTGCGAACCCAATAATTTATAATTCTCTCATATAGCAATAAATCTCATCGAAAATGAAATCAATCCTCATTGGTCCCTAACCAATTCTCCCTCGTCAATCATGCAGGTCGGTGCCTCTGAAAATTTAACGCCTGGAGCTTGATGAATCATTCAAATTACGACCTTGTTTTGATAAGCTGGCAGGATTATTGACATTAACTTCAAACAAACTCACTGCATTTCCCGGGGCGCTTAAAATCATGACTAAAACTAGAACTTCTTCAGAAGTGTCCTGGAAACTGCACAAATCAGCTTCTGGAATCCTGAACTTCGGCTCACGAGCAAACGTTAGCATATCCTGCTGGTTGATCGCTTTCTGGGTGGTGGTTTTCGTGGTAGATGAAGTCAGATCCGTTGTAGTTTTGAAACTGGAGGAATCTCTTCTAGTGCTTTTAGATGCCGATGATTTTGCTTCTCCGCTTCCAATGGAGTTTCCAGGCGTAAGAGAAAGCACTGCAAATGTGGAGTAAGAGTCATGTTCACCCAAAATGTGTCACAAAGAAAAAAATGGGAGTGTCATAAGTTCATGCAGCTTTTGGTAAATTCCCCAGGATTTTTCCTCTGTTTCGTTTTGCGAAAATCCGACACCCTTCTTGCCGTAGGATATTTAGAACTATTTTCGAACAGTAGTTCCTATACTGAACAAGTCTGTTTATGATCTAAGAAACAACATTAGATGAAAACACATCCAATTTTATTTCTGAAGAAAAGACATTTTCGGGGTTTAGTTGCATCAGTCTATCCAGGAAGAAACACTTTTTGTATACACACCAGAAAAGTTTTCCGAAAAATTTGCAAGAGGATTGGAAGGTTTGTTTTAAGGCTATCCAGTTTTACGTGCCTTTAAATAAATTGGCCAAGAAGTTTCCAGCTAAACAACAAATTTGCATTGTTCGCAATAAAACCTTGTAATTTCCAGCAAATTATTTTGAAAATTTCCGAAAAGTCCTTCGCCGAAATGGAGAAAAACGTGATTGTGCATTGTAATAAAATCCATGTTTTTTGGCAAAATTACGCTCCTTCTTGTTTATTTTTTAATCCTTTTGGAAGTTTTATGCAGATTTCTTCAGATTATTGAATAAAAACCCTCGTCCTCATTTAATAAACTAAAACTTCCATAATTATTTGGACATTATCCAAACCCGAAAGCCCATCAAAATTGACTAAGTGGAAGCCCGAAAATGCGTACTTAACGGTTGGTAGGGACCAACGCTTACAAAGCTTATTTAGTTGCGTTTTTTTTTAGCTTTTCCTTTCTTCACACAGTCAGCAGTCGGTCTTTTCGTCTGTTTCTTAACTAAACAGGGAGCAAGAGGGCTGGTTCTGTCGCTGAAATATTGAAAATGTGACCCAGAAGGGCGTTACCTTCCACGAGTGACGGACGTCTCCCTAATCGAATGATGGGTCGTGTCACTTGATTAAAAGTTTTGCTAAATAAGCATTTTCTGTACATTGCGCAGATCCTTCATTATTTCGAAAAAGTGCCTCAGCAATAGTTTTTATAATGACAGGCAGACTTTATCAACAAAGATTTTCTCTGTACAACGAACTTTTTATTTGTCTCATATTGGGTGCTTGTTTAATCATTGCATAGCGAAATTCTCTATACAGCGATAATTTTTGATCCGATGCATTTCATTGTAGAGAGAGTCCACCTGTACAGAATCTGTAACTCAAAGTAAAGTTCTGCTTATGAATGAAGGCACCTCGTTTTTAAAAATCACGAATCACAAAATTACCTTGAATTCGGGTCGTTGACGTGAGACTTGAATTGTTTGAGTCTGCGAAGATCGTTAGGGTGGACAAGTCATTCTTGTCAAAGCGTTCCAGCACAAGTAGTATGAAAATTACGCCGGCAACACACACGAGTAGCTGCATAAACCTGAGGGCCAAAATCATTCTAAGAGGAGAAAAATCAGCAAGTTTACTTTACAAAACTTGAACCTCACCTGTTCCGAAGCTGCAGCATTTTCTATAAATAGTCTATCCCGGCGGGGCAAAGTTTTCCACGTGTCCTCGTTTTGGCACATTAAACTGAGGGTGGACACTCTACAAAATAAAAATAAAAATGACAATACCAGAGAAAAAATTCAGTTCCGTATTTACACAACTATCTTTGGCGTGCAATGAGCAGAGCTCAATTTCTGAAATCAAGATCATTTTAAAAATAAGCTAAATAGGTCAACCTAAGAACAATTAAAACCGGTTAATAAAACAAAATTACTCGAAAGTTTTGTCAAGTGTGGTGCACAAGATCTTGCAGCGGACAAATGAGACTGTAATGTTACATTTTGTAATGGATAAGTTGAGGAGTGTACAGTGCAATTTTCCTTTTTTGCATGAAAAAAAATTCTAGAGAAACCCGTAGAAATGAGACTGCAGTGCGGGTTTTACTGCACTTCCTCTTGTTGAAATTTGTGGGCCGAACTGTTCTTCCATGGGGAAGGTGGCTGATTATAATAATTATTTATGACAAATAAGGTATTTGTTCGTGATAAAAAGCCGAAATGCTCACGCACCAGTTGATGTAGCAAAGAATCCCTTTCAAGATCGGATTAGGAAAACTCCAGAGGAGGTACGATAAGTGATCATGCTTGTTTAGAGCCGTTGCGTAGGTGTATTTTAGAATCGTGTTATGTTTCGTGGCCTTTCGTAAAGCTGGCGAAAGGCCTTAAAAAGTTTACTTTTTATAGACGAAGGAATCCGAGAACGAGCACCTGAACTCCTTCGCTCTGAGCCTCAATCCCTGGGAAAGATAAATTTGTAGGCTTATCAATTTTACAAACCGGGGCGGAACGATAGTAACTTTTTCAATGCAAATATTCGTCGAGGATCTGACGAAGCATATTCATGAACCATTCACGAGCTGATAACACTGCGCTCAAAATTCTAAAAAATTAATAAATCGTTCAAATGCAATTTAGATGGAAGGGAAGATGATCTGCTTGCACCCGGGGACGGTTTTGGCTGGCATAACATATTAATATTACAGGAAAAATTCACACATCACGAAACTGTCTTAAACCTTCATTTTAAAACTGGCAATTCATCAGAGCGAATATTCACGGGGTAAATTAATTCCTCTGAAAGCATGTGGGCGTCTTACATTCAGGTCAAGGTCAAATACTTTGCGGGCTTCTGTCATGAACGTTTATTGCTTCCATTTCCGAAGGACAAAAGCCCATTTCTGTGAAGATATGAGCTAATGCAAATTCCGGTGGAACAACTTTGAAAGAGTTTCAGAATAGGGTGCCTTGGTGGTTGACTTTCTGCAATCTGCCTTATCTATACGAGGCTTCACTTTCAAATGTGAAGGAAACATATATTTCCAGACAAAAAATACTCTTTTCTTGCTAATCCTTCCATGAAGCACCATTAATTATCAAACGCTTTCAATTGCTCTGCTTCAACGTATAAAATACTGCATTAGACAATTAGCGATTCACTGTTACAGATATAGTATGAATCATTTAGTTGCCAAACGAATTGAAGCGTTTATTTCCCATAACCTTCGGGTTGGCGAAACATTCTTGTACGTGGTCTGGCAACCATCAACACATTCCTCGACAAACTACGCCACGCCTCGTCAATGTTATCAACAACGTCAATATTCTCTTGGTACTAACCCGCTTATCATACTTTTACAATAAATATTAAATTGGACCGTTTCAAAAATTTTCCAAGGGCTTACATCAATCTCTATAATGAAGCCTAAGCAGTTTCTCTCTTTTAAATTGGGACTTCATTCAAAGGATTCCTGTGAAAAAAATAATACCGAGTCCACGGAAAAGAGATTCTAATAAAAACTGAAGTCGCACACTTTCTCTCTGCAACCAGCATTTGGAATTCTGGCTGTCATAAGTTTCAAATCAACGAAATGAACAACGAAACAGCCCAATTAAATACGACCCTGACGATGCCATCATTCCTCGGCTGGATACAGTATATTGTATAACGTTTGCCGGATTCCGCTCGTTCCGGTGACGTAAGGTGACAGTAATTCTTCGGAAAACGGATGGTAGTTAGGTAAACCGCAGGAAATAATACTTTTTGCGTTCAATTAATGACCACTGTTATATTTATGAATACTGATTAAAGCTTTGCTGAAGAAAGATCGCTTGAGCAATGGTTATGTCGGAATCGTGAAATTTCATGGAGATCCCTGCATACAGGTCGTTGGTACTCCAACCTGAGATGCACATTCCTTTTTTTGCCACAGGTGTCACTACTAAGCTTCCTGTTTCAATATATAATGTAGCTTCTTTCATTCTACGGTTGCCTATGCTTACTAGACGGCTTTTAAGCACCTGCAGATTTGTTATGATTAACTAAACCTGTTGAAGGAAAATGAAGAATCAAATGCAATTTTAAAAGTCCTTGATATAATTTTCGATTGCATCTAGAAGCCGTTGGTATCCAGATGAAACGAGGTTATCCGGGATTCAGCAAAAATAAATATTCGAAAACCATGGGTATGCAAAAGAGGTAATAGACCTTCGTGATCCCAATATTTCTGATGTTTTCTTCCAAACACACAGTGCAGTATATATGTCAATGCTCATACCCTGTGTTTTCAAAAAATTGAGGACGGCAGAGAAAATTGTGAATGAATGGATTGAACAAACGTCGCCTCATGTAAACGTTTCCTGATAAGAAAATTACTTTGGAGGCGTGTCTCAGATTCTGAAGCAAAGTTTTCACCATTTTTGTGGCAAAAAAAATCAAAATTTACCGGAAAATATTTTCGCCCCAGAAAAATCCTTCGTGCAAATTATTCCCATTAATCCAAGCTAGCTGAATGAATGGAAAATCGCGGGACTGCGGATGAGCAAAAAAAAAAAAAAAAAAGACAATCCATGGACTAACTGTCTCGATTCCACCTTGGGAATGTTTACATCCACAAGTGATCCACGCTTCACTACAGAGCAGCGTGCCGTTATAAACCAGAGGATTCCACCAGCACTCCATACGACGCGCGACACTTCCTCAACTTGATTCACCAGCATAAATAGCAAGTATCCAGAAAGCTCAGCCAAAAACGGTAGCGAAAATTTATGATTTTCGGGGAAAAAACAGAGAAATGAAAACCGCACCATTGACACGAATCCCCACCTGCTTGAAACTCGACACCGACACTGCAGCAGGTCCTCGTGTCGGCGTTGCGTACTCACGCGCTCTCGGCCTGATACTACCTGCAGGTTAGGCTGCGCGTTCATGTTCGATAAGAAACGCGAGCGCATGACCTATGCGTACATTCCAATGTATATTTCACTTTTGCGACTCGTCACTGAAGCACTAAAGTAAAGTATAGTCTCAGCACTAGCTTAGTAAAAGTTCAGATCCCTCCCAAAAAGCCGCTTTTAGTCAGTTATGTTGGCCGGATTGAGAAATCATCCTAAGGCCATCAGTTTTCTTACACAAAATGCAGTAAAGGGGTTATATAAAACGAAATTCTCTCCACGAGGATTTATTTCTGGTCATTCGAATCTCCTCAACGAATTTCAAGTAATTAGAAAGAGAGCGTCGTGGAGAGAATTTCGTTGCAGAGGAACCCTAAAACATGGAAAGAGAACCCTATGCTGGGCAAAAAAAAATCCTTGTACATGCAGAAAAAATCATTGTCGACAAAGATAAATCTAGAGAGAATCCATCTGTAGTATATTTTTAAATTACTATTTTATCTGCTGGACTGCCAGAAATACAGTGTGATTTTCTAATGCAGTATTTCGGCAATTGGTGCCCCAAATAATGGTTCCTTTGTGTAAATACAGTACAATCATAAAGGGGGTCCTATATTGAAGACGCATATCTCAGTAAGCATTTTGCTGCATGAACTTATCTTGAGACTAAACAGTGACTGGCTCAACAAAACTTCTTCTGAATATTTATTTACAAACTTTTACCCTGAAAAAGCGAGAGAGGTTCAATATTTGAAAGGTTTATCATTGTATCTTGAGCTCAGTGTTGCCAAATGTATCTTGAACATGATTCAGAGCCTTCCTTGTAGCGTGTGACTTTTGGATATGTGGTCGTTTTTTGTGGTTTTCAATGTTTTATGAGATTAATTATCCATATTTAAGCCAAATAATGGCCGTCTCATGGAGAATCGAAGCAACTTAATGTCAAAATTATATCTGAAGGAGACAAATACAGTAAACTTGAATAAACTGTGGGTATACAAAATGTGCTTCCATTTTCAATTTTAAACTGTGTGAAATCAATGCTTTCGATTTTCTCGCGGAAAATGGAAATTTTCATGGAAGGTTCTCTATCCTGAGAAAACACATTTTGCGTAAAATATTTCCTGAATAAGGAACTTCGTTCAGTTTGGTTCCCTCTTCGTGAATTTGATAATTTTTTTAGGCGAAAAACCTTCAGACGTGTTCAACTCAGGTTCCCAGCAATTTTAATTTTTGAGTTGAAGGTAAACCAAGCCTTGAATAATACAATACTAGCAGGAAGATACTTTTCTTGAAAATCATCAAAGTTTCTGTGGAATTAAGGCAATATTTTTCTACCTGAAAAAGCCTGCTGATGCTGTTGATCAAGTTGAGGATTGACTTTTTTGTTTCTGAGTGCATTTTTTTGCAATTGTGCGATACCTCTTGTACAACGTCTATTTATTTCGTTATTTTGAAATAAATTCAGAATCAAATACTGTATTCAAATAATTTGAGATGGATCCATAGCTAGCTATACACTACTGAAATATAGATCTTTTCACGAAATTTTGGGAGCTTTGGAAGGAATTAGGTATTCTGCATTGCTTGATGAAATATTTTAATTGCTAAGATTTACAGATGATGGATATTTCGCAGAAATGCGTCTTCCATTAAACGAGGTATCACAATATTCAACCCTCAGATTCTCAGCGAAAACGCAAGGGACAATGGAAACTGATTGAAAAAATTCTGGCATTGTCCACACAATGACTTCCGTATCTAGAGCCCACCTGAATTGAATGCATGGCTGAAATCGAAAGCTTCACGATGACTGACTTAAGTCAAAAGGGTTCAAGATCAACTGACTCAAGTCTTCCAGTTGTTTCCTCCTGTCGGGTGTCTTGGAAAGAAATGCTTATGCCAACAAGTCACACCGCATTCAGGAGCAGGAAAACAGCGCTAGACGAAGTGACATAGCAATTAATGAAGACACGTTACTGACTACTTTCACAAACAAGCCGCGTCACTTTCAGTCTTGCTTGGACAGTGGAGACAAACACTCTCAGGGTCTCATCTAGTACCAACATCCGTCTCATGAAGGAATGAAATATATATTTATATATGCATGTCCAATACCTATTCACTATTTGCCGAGTTATTCCATTCCTTTTGTCCCCTAGCGAGCGAATCGCGTGGTACTGATAGCAGATAACACATTTTGAACGCAATCCCAACGAAAGTTCTTCTGCATTGACTGAAATATGCACTGCGAAATCCCGCAAGCTTCCATTTGATATCTGAACACGCTTTTCTGATTCTTATCTTCTAAAAATCACATGAATTGCTTAATGCGGCAAAAATAATCAGAAGGAAATACGAATATAGCGAGTTTAGCGACACAAGTTTTTCTTGCCACCATTCTGCTAAAAACAGCACATTAATCAATGTCGAAGTCACGGTAGCTTCTTTTACCAAAAAAGCACACGGGGATTCCTATTGTCTGTAGTCCCGTCGGAATTGTTTCCGCAGAAAATAAATGAGATGCCATGAAATTCGCTTGCCATTTGCTTTGTAAGCGAACCCTGGCCTTCGCATCGACACCTCATATTCGGTATCATTCCTAAATGTTCATGTATAACGTATATTTCGCAGCTAATTCGCTGTTCAGGAAAAAAGGACGTTAGTGCACATATGGTAGCATGTTTCTTTGTTCGCACGATTGTGGGCTCTCGAAGAGCAAATTTCCAGATAACGGTTTCGGGGTTTATTGAGCGGCACATTGTCAAGATAATTTTTACCCGAAATAACCACGTGAGAAAATCAACGCTTTGATACTTTCATTTGTTTTGCTGTACACAAACGCAGTTTGGATGCATGCAAAATTTCCTCGCCTTCAACGCTCGAGAAGGAAGAGTTTTCAAGAATGTAGAATTTTCTTAAAATAACATTCGAGACTTTAAAATTATATCTTGAATATTCTGGAGAGTGTATAATTCGAAGATAATTTGGAAGGATTTCGTAGCTAAAATACGAAGTATAATTCTGTTTCTAGGTTGTGCCAACTTAGTCTCAGCGTCAAGCGGAGGATATTTTTTTAACGTCTGCTGGTACTTCTGTTGTCCCGTGTCCCCCTTTTTTTTTTTTTTTACACATTTACGCAAAAAACCCTTTATACTGCGCGAAAAAATATGCAAACAGAACAGGAAATGATTATTCAAACTGCAGATCCATAATTTAAATTTAGTATTTCTACTGTTGAGGAAAAAATTGAAAATCAATGACACGAGCGAATAAAGTATTTTATCGACGAAATAAAATAATATACAAAAATCTAGCCTTTTATTCATTTCGTCGTGCTTTCTCTTCTGGAAAGATTCAACCTAAGCAAAACCACAAGTTACTTCGAAACTGGGTTCAATGTTGCGTTTGGGTGATAAAAAATTCATCACTGAGAATCCCTGTAGGTGCGTGTTGGCTTTAATTGAATTGGCCGCGCTAAAAAAAATTGCTAAACTGCAACGCACAATTTTTTTGCCAACACGGCAAAAATAAATCCCATCCATTTTATGAACCGGAACTCTTCCGATATATGATGGTGACAGCAAGGTCGTCGTCACAGAAACAGTTGCCTTTGGCAAACTGCTACTTTTACGATGACCTGAGCTTCAAGAGAATCCGCTCCATTACCTTCAAGCCTGATATCATCACCTTGTGCTTCCTAATTAACAATCAGCAGTAAGTGGTTGCATGATATGCTCGATCATCGTCAAAATTCACGTTGTTTCTTTGCTCCCCGTCAACTCAAAGCAAATATAAAAAAACCGCACTTATGCAAAGGAAATATGGTATAGGTAAAACTATTATGCATAAATTATACTATATGATGAATCAAGTGAAGTGCGTATGTCCGAAATCTTTATCCCATCACGTTTGCTGAAGTTCGACATTATGCGCATTCGATTTTCATAATCTTGTAAATCGATTTTTTCGGGGGCACTTTTGTATGAGTTTTCTGGGATATTGGCCTCTTTTTCTGCATTGAAAATGGAAAAATTTTTCCCTTAAGGCTAGGGACAAAATGGTTCAACCTGTGAACTCACAGATACAGTCATGTCCTTAAGGCGAGTTATAAATGTACATCTCGCCTATTTTTATGGGTATCTAGTGAGAATGTATACAAAGTATAAAAATTTCTGAAAAGAAAAAATGCATCGCTGGCTACTTCTAATCTTGCCCGCGAGTTCTGCGGAACTTTCGGTCGACACTTCATTGCTCAGTTGCCCATCGTATTTTTTTATTCTAGAAAAAACGCAAGAAATTCTTCCAACCGAAGAAAATACAAACAAAAACTGACGCTGTTGTTACTTTAACACATTGGTGACACCCAGCTATAGTATATAAAAATGAAGCATGAATGTGGCAGTTTTGACCGTCTAAAGTCATTCTCAGGCAACGATACTTTCATGTGCGTCATATTTGGATGAATGCAGAACGCATGTATGCCAAATTCTTCGATTTTTTGAGACTTCAGAGTGTCACTCAAGCCACGAAATCCTCGCTTTATTCAAGTTCAAGTGCATCGAACACGGAAGTGGTCAGGAATTCTATGGCCAAATCATCTTTCTGCATCACGCTGCGGAATAGATCGAGCAGACACTTGATCGCTATTTCCTCGGAATCGTAATCCATCTCTTTTTTTGTTGTTGCTCATAAACATTTTATTTTGATCTGAAGAATTATTCTACCAATATTAAATTCTTCATTTGCCTGAGCCAAGAACTCAACAGAGTTTTAAAATGATGAATGCACATTGAGCGCATTTAAAAAATATAAATTATGTTTATTATTCGTTTCCATGCCGACGGTTAATTTTTTAAATAGCCGATTCAGATTTGCTGCATTCATTAGTGGAGCGCAACAATTTTTCTCCCAAAGTTTTACCGTAGACTGATACTTTTAACTCTCCTTCTGCAGTTTCAATTGTCAGTCAGGTCTCAGGTGCCATTTCAATCTCTAAAATGCACAAACATAATCAATTGAACTGGACAAAACCA